TATTTTATTTTATTTTATTTTATTTTTAGGATCTTGTCTCTTTAGTTGTGGAGGAAGAATCTCGGAAATGTGAGAATGATTCAGGCCTCTACTTCCCAGTTCCTGTCCCTCGTCCTGTGATCCTGGAGGTTGGCTGTGGCTCTGGAGCAATTGCTCTAAGTCTGTTGTGCAAACTGCCACAGGTGAGCTTTTTTCAGTGTTCCTGGTACAATAGGTGCCTGGGTCACAGAACAATCCCACTCTACTAGGCTTCATTGAGACTTCACAGACAAACTGCTTGGATGGGACTTCAGCAGCTGAGGTCTCTGACAGTCAGGCTCTATAGGTTCATGGTTCGTTCTAGGTGGAAGAGGGATATTTAGGAATTGCTCCCTCCAGCTTTCTGCAGAAATAGCAGACAGTCAGAATGGAAGAAGCAAATGTGCCCATTCTTCAGCTGTCCCAGCTCGCTATTAATCATCTTAGCTTGAAGCACTGCTGAGTGCTGGTTTAAGCTAATATTCTGGGCTTATGGACCAGGGGGACTGAGGCATGAGCACACTATTAGTCAAATTTATGGGGAAAATCACATTTTTGAAGTCTTTTGTTTCTTAATAACAACCCACACATTTTGAGCAGAGTGAAAAGAGCAGGAAGGGGACTGAGATCTGGGTGACCAAAGCCCTTCTTGTCCCTGATTATTGTGGCATGTAACATGCTTACTGAGGTGCTGTTGGTAAACAGAAAGAGAAATGAATCCAAAGTCTCATTGCATGTGGTTAAGGGAAAAATATTCCCCTTTCCTCAGAATTGCAGACCAGTCAGTTCCTTCTCGTGAATGAGAATTGCTGTGGCCAGCCCCTGCTCTTGGAGAAGTATAGGATTTGGTGTTTAAGAATTAGAGGCTGATGCCTGTGTTCTTCCCCACAGTGACCTGATAAGGTTAATACTTGAGCTTCATGACTTCAGAGTACAATTACTCTGATTTCCTGAGCTGTACTTCATGCTCTTTTCCTTGCCTGTTAAGTTAAAGAGCTGTGTCAGTCTGTCCCTGGAACTGATAACAGTCCTTCCCCAGCTGACTAACACAAAAACTGTTGTGCCCAGAGAAATAAGGAGCCTTGACTGATTGGAGTTAGTGGTAGCCACACTGACAGCTAAGAGAAGTTTACACTCTGTGTGATCTCTTTAGTGTTGGAGGCAGAATTTGGTACTAGAGTACTGAGAAAAGAAAAACAGCTTTTCACTTACAGATTCAGCTCTGTCTGTCACCTCAAGGGTCAGCTTCATCTGTGTAGGTGCCAGTCTCAGGCTGGGAAATTAATCCCCTTAGGAATGATGGCTGATCACACCATCATCTCAAATGCAAAGTAGTTTCTTTGAGCCCGCTTTCTCTATGTAAATACTTACCAACATCTATGTTTAAGAAACATTAAGCAAAGCAAAACCAAGTCAGGCCTTTGCCTGCACTTTTCCCAAGGTGGAATGGAAGGTCAGACAAATCTCTAACTGTGTAGTCTTATCTCATAATGTTACGCTGGAGGACTCTCAAATACTTGACACGCAATCAAGTACACGCAGTCAATACACACAGTGAATGTGGAGTACAGACCGTAGTGAGTAACTAGGGAAAAGGTGACTGCACAACAGATGGAACATGCCAGAACCTCTGTCCAAGTGGTTGTGTTAGTGCTGGCAGGGATTCTGACCACGTTAGAGAGGGGAAGCCTAGGACATGATCTTCCTTTAACCTGTGTCTACCCTAGACTCACCAGAGTGTTGAGTCTCACACTGCTAGGAGCTATGAACCTATCAGGTGATGTGAGTCAGTGTCATTGTTGTCAGCTGAGTTGGTTTGGTCAGAAGCCTGTCTATTTTGGTAGGCTGCTGGCAGTGTTGCAGAGTGCCTTCTGTCACATTAGTGGCCTTACTGCAAGTGACTCGTGATCCCATCAGTGCCCTGAGATTCATTCTTCATGAACTAATTCTTTTGGGAGCCAAGAGTGAACAGTGAATTGTCAGTTCTTATCTTGCACGTCCCTTTTGGCAGAGCACATCTGCTCAGGAACCTTGATGTTGTAGTACTTGTTTGTTGTTTTCTCTGTCCCAGAGCCAGGTGATAGCCGTGGATAAAGCGGAAGCTGCTGTGGATCTCAGCAGGGAGAACGCACACAGGTACAAGCCCACATCTTACCCATTCTTTGTAAATTGTTGTCAACAGTTGGGCATGTGGTTCATGTTTATCACCACTGGAAACCAGGAAACATTTCCCTAGGCCGAGCTCCTAAAGCGTGTAAAAATTCAGAAAAAAGAAGCTTATATTCACCAGAGTATATTTTTCTTTGACTTGTGAATGCACTTTGCAAAGACAGCAGCCTAAATAAAACAATAGTGCTTTACTGCTTTCTGTCTTTCAAGGGTTTTCAAAGTATTTCATGGTACCTACTCTTACCCCTTTCTGTGAACTTGGGACTCAAGGCAGCAAGTAGTAAGAACATGTATGTCACTTGGGAGGCTAAGGACAGGTGTAGCCTGAACCTTTCTCTCTCTGGCTCCCTGTATCATTATTGCTGTGCTTGTTTCTGTCATTGCTCCTCCAGATCTAAGTTTGCACGATCAGATACCACCTTCACTCTGATGTGCTCGTGTGGTATCCCTCAGCATCCTCCTTGCAGTCTTGGGTTTGGTGAGAATGGTGCTGCTGTGTCCTGTGCTGTTTGCATGACACCTGCGCTGTGGCTGGACGTTCAGAGCTGCTGAATCATAGAACAGTGGCACCACTTCCTCAGCTGGTTCTTCTTAACCCAGGTTATTTCAGACTAGGCACCAGAGCTAGAATCTCAGTGTGCTTTTGAGTCCAGGACCACAGTCTGTGTAGACATTGTAAAGGGTACAGAGCACTCATATGTATTCATATCCTCATACACCCGTGGGCCATAGGCACTAATTAGAGCAGCCTTGGAAAGGATTCCTATTGCTACATCTTATGGAGTCTATCCATGTCCTGGTTTTTGCTAGAATAGGGTTAAGAAGAAAATTAACCCTATCCTAGCGAAAACCAGGACAATCCAGTACAGTTGTGAACCTTAAGTAGTGCTCATTAACTGACATTTCTGTCCACAGGACCCACGTACCCTTTTTTCCCCAAGCTGCTGCCAGCACTGGGGCTACAGAGACAGGCTACCTCTGTTTCTGGCTGCACTGGGCTGCATCTCTTCACTTCTTGCAACCCAGTCCCAGCTCTTATGTGAGTCTGAAGCGATGTGTGATGTGAACAAGCCCTTTCCAGTCTTTGTCACCTCACTATTCCCCCCTTTGCCTGCTAGTCCAGTTACAGGGAGTGGGGAGCAGAGATTTCCTTCTGATGCACCAGTGTCAAACCAAGTTCTGTTGCAATTTTTTATAGATATCATAAAAGCAGGCGAGATCTTTGCCTCCTTGGTAGATTAGTGCTTTGGCATCTGCAAAAAAATAGTCTTGTTATTAACATTGCTTGTTGGCTCGAGAGTGGCCAAGGGAGTCTAAATGCTGTGCCAGATAACCTCATATTTCTCCATGGATACTTCCATTGTGTCTTTGTGATCTTGTCCATGGCGTGGTGCCCTGTAGCTCTTGGGAGAGAAGCCAGCAGGATAAGCTGTGTTACTGCTTGACTGAAGCCAGCTTGGTTCCTGCTGCCTTTTCAGAGCTGGCTTATCACAGCTCTGTTCTCTAGGCGCTTAGGTGAGTCTTGCTCTCCCTGAATCAATCCCAGTGCCAGATGAACCATCTGGGCACACTGCAGACAGATGCAGGAATCCCTCCCTTTCTCGATGCCTGTGTGTGCTGACAGGGCAGTACCACAGGCCCTCAGCTAAGGCAAGTAGGACTTGGGTGTAGGGCCTTTGTCACAGCACGTGCTGTAAACCCTGTTGGGTAGCCCTGAGGTGTTACACTGAAGAGCTGGGAGGAAAACTCTGCCACTGTGGTGGGTCTCTTGTGGGAGGGGAGAACATGCTGGGAAGAGCTGGGCTGTTGTGTTTTTTTTCTTTACACATTGACTGCATTGAGGACAGGAGTTAGGGGACAGTGCAGACTGCCACAGTGTACTGCTGTTGGTCAGGGAATGGCATCTCTTGTGGAAGACTTGGAGTCTTTCTTCACCAGCAGATCTTGGCCAGCCTTGTCTTTCTGACTTTGCAAAGTGCTTCCTCTGACATTGCTCAAGTGTCTGCTTGCTTTGACATTGCTTCACAAGAGCCAGAGGCAAACCTGGTGAGAAGAGATATTTTGGTGGGTGGACCACATAGCTGAGGAATTAGAGGTTCTGTTCCTTCCTTGCTGTCTTACATGCTCTGTTTCTGTGACCTCTCCTGTAGTATCAGGCTGTCACCAAGCACCAAGGCTACTTTCAGACTGGCCTCGCTTTCCTGCCCCAGGAGCATCAAGGGAACTTTGCTCAGAATTCCCAAGGTTTAAGGGGATCGCTGCCTCAACTGTTTTCCCCCAGCAGGGAGCCTGTTCTATAGCAAGCTGCAGTCTCAAGGCTGTTCTACCTTGGATTAGTGCAGTGAGTCAGATCAGAATCTTGGCCAAGATTTCTCCCTAGAGAAATACCACTGTGTTTGTAGGCCTGTTGCTAAAAAACAGAAAGCCAGCATGCTTACTTGCTTACTTGCTCACTTGTCCCAGGTAAGGGAGAGGTGTTTGTGTGTTCTAATGCCTTCAGGGTTTCTGCTGGTATGAGCACCCTGAGGACGTCTGGCTGCAGATGAAAGGCACTGACCATGTTTCCCAATTAATGTGCACGGAGATTTTGGAGGCAAGAAAGATCATGAGTTAGAAACTAGCATCTGAGAGATCCTAGTGTGTATGTTAAATACATTATAGTGTACAGTCTGTGCATGTGCTGTTCCTACAGGAGTCCATTTTCCTGGCTGTGTGTCTGGCACAGGGGTTCTGCTGCACTGCACGTGCTGGCCTCCTGCTAGTGTGCAGTAACATCTCATCACCTTAACGTTAAGTTCTAGATTATCAAAGGGGCTGGAGAAAGAATGTGGCAAACAGAAGCATGTTGTCTCCACTAATAACCAATAGCAGGTTTAGGTATTGGAAGCAGGTGACTTTTTTGTGGGGTTTTTTGTTTGGTTGGGGTTTTTTTTTGTTGTTTTCTTCCCCCTTTCCCCTCAGGGATGGTGAGTTTACCTGGCGGAGGCCTTGGAGATGTAGTTAATCTGCAGCAGAGTGAGGGAATGCTGCTGTATGTATGGCAAGGGGTGATACATATAGGTTTTGGGTGCCCAGGAGCTGCACCCTGGAATCAGCAGAGGTGCATAGTCTGTTCTTTGCTTTGAATGTTGTTCATGGGGCAAAGATCAGATTGCAAACTTCCCTTGTGGGTTGAGAGGAATCCAGCTGCAATCAGTGGGGTAGGTTACACGTGTCAAATAAGAGGTATGATATTTAATGATCTGTTTATAGAATGTGCTGGTCATGAATCTACACAAACATGCCTCCTAATCTTTCTGGTTTTGCATCTGGAATTTTACAGGCTGCAACTCCAGGACAGGATCCACATCCTCCACCATGATGTTTCATACAGTAAGTCTTTTCACTGTTATAATCTCTTTTGTCTTTCTCCCTTTGTACTTTGATGGGGTGAGGCAGGCATGAGAGACAGTCAAGGGACCCCTTCAGGATACAGGAGTCAGGAGGCTGTTGAAGCTACTAGAGAAAAAGGTCAGTAAGAAATGAGCCAGTGAAGCGTTTCCTGTCAGAGATTTCCAGGCTAGATGATCAGCTGAGACAAGTCCTTGACTACACTAGAAAGTGAATTGTTCCTGATTTGAGGTGTCTGAAGGTTGTGCCTGAGATGTTAGTCCAGGTGCTCTCTGGTATTACTGGGGACAGGCAAATATATACAGAAGATGACTCATTCCATGCTGACGTGGATGCTTTAGATAAGCATATATGTATGTGTGTCTCCATTGGTGTTAGAGGGAGCCCAAATATTTAGCTTAAATTAAATGCTCAGGCTTATTGATCTGAAATTAGATGAGCTGAAGCAGGGAGCAATACCTATTGTCTTCCCCAAACCAGGCTGAAACCAGTTAAAACTGCCATTTGGTGAGGCTTATCCAGTTAGGCAGGTATGTGCTCAGCTGTTTCTTAGCCAGGAGCTCCAGCATTGTAGATTCATTAGTGCACCTTTCTCGTGCTATTGTTTTTGACACTGATGCTATTGTTTTTGACACTGTCCTACCTCTTAGGGGTATGTCTGCCCAGTCTTCTCTCTGCAAATCTGAGTTTGTGCTGTCCATGCTCCAAACAGCAGTAAAGCAGCCAGCTCTAGTCCAAAGTCCATGTAGCTGTGTTGGCATTGCACCTTCCTGGGTGAGCCCTGTGCCACGAGGCTGGCCTGAGGACATTGCCACACTCAATGGTTACAGGATGTCTGATTCAGGGCTCATATGTGTCAGTCCAGACAGCAGCATGAGCAGTAGTGAGCTGAACCTTGTCTGCAGGAGAGCAAACCATCAGATGGTTGATACTGCTGTGAGGGCCTGGCTCTTTTGCTCATTTCAGGTCCTTCTGCGTCATGACAGCTAGTCTAAGCTCCCACATAGGTCTTTGTGGGCTCTCTCAAGTTATGGTTATTGCTGTAGATCCAGATGGGGCACAGAGCTCCAGAGCATCAAGCTCCTGTGCTTGGTAACATGTTCCACCAAGCAGGGCTGTTGATAGGAAAAAATGTGCTTAGTTTTGTATCGCTCTTGCAGGCCGGGCTATGCCGAAAAGAAATGGGGAAAAAAAGAATTATCAAAGAAAAACAGAGCCAAACACACATGGACATGTGTCTGGAGAGACAGTTTCCTGGACAGGATTTTGATACTGAGCTTATAGGGAAGGTTGTTATGGTTGACAGTTGTGTCTCTTTTTCTTTTCTAGGTTCTACCAAGCAGCTGCTACTCTGGGGCCCTGTAGACTTCATAGTCAGTAACCCTCCATATGTCTTCCATGAAGACATGGCTTCCTTGGACACAGAAATCCTCCGGTAATCAGACAAATAGATTTTTCTTCTCCTTGAAGCAAGGTTTTCTGTCTGTTTCTGTATACTACACACAACTGCACACAAAACATGTGAATGTAGTATACATGTAGGTAGTGTATGTGTATGATGTATATAATCATAGAATGGTTTGGATTGGAAGGGACCTTAAAGCTCATCCAGTCCCAACCCCCCTGCCATTAGCAGGGACACCTTCCACTAGACCAGGTTGCTCAAAGCCTCATCCAACCTGGCTTTGAATAATACAGTGTTACTTTGATAATGACTTACAGGTCTGAAACTATGTCGAAGTATTTTATGTATTTATAAAAATGAGAAAAGCACACACTTTGAAATTAACAAGTTTCCAATCCCAAATTGTTTCAGAACATTTTTCTTGTTAGAACTTTTTTTTTTCCTCCATAATTTGTGTGAGTTTATAAAAAGAAGCATAAAGAAACTGAGCAGCTTTTTATGATGAAAAAAAAAAAACCTGGATGGAAATGCTGTGACCTATTCTCATTTCAATACTTGTCTTAAGCAAACAAACCCACACAAACATGAATAAGCTCTTTAGGGATGTGGAACTACTTTAGGTGTGCTGGTTCTTTCTCAGAACTGATTGTCATGCGTGTCAGGACAAAGTCCTGCACCCACCCGGGTGCGAGATGTGCCCCAGAGCAGATTCTGAAAGTTGAGCTTTCTACATCCCAGTTTGCTGTGCTGGGTTAGAAGGCAGTGCAGCCTGGCTGTTGGCACAGCTGCAATGAAGCAGGTGGTCCCTTGCTGTACGACCCACTCTCTCTCTGTCCAGCAAGCACAGAGAGAACAGATCCAGGTGTTGGAACTGTGCAGCCCTGGCTGCAGTTGGCTCATGAGTTTCAGGAAGAGTTCAGGGGATGTTTGCTGCCTGTGCTCAACGGGGGGTTTCTCAGCCTAGTGGTAGCTGCCTCCTTACCCCTGTATTTTACGTACAAGCGATGAGTGTTGTCACCTGCTGTATGAGAACTGGAGTTCAGGTGTGTGAGGGGCGCCTTTCCCCATGGAGTGTGGGGTGATGCGTCCTCGAGGGTGTGGCTTATGCCACATGAATTGCTGCTAATGTCTTCTTATTCCCACACTCCAGCTATGAGGACCTCGATGCACTAGATGGGGGAGATGATGGGATGAGAGTCATCAAAACAATTCTGGCTCTGGCTCCTTCTCTTCTGAAGGATTCTGGGTAAGCACTGTTCTCTGTTTGAATTTCATGTCTTTTGTTCATTCACTTCTATAACTTCTGTTTTCTTTTCATATAGGAAAGTACAGAGGGAAAATAGCTGTAAAAATGTTCCCCCTCCCATCTAGAAATAGCAATTTAAAAAATGTCATGTGTATAACCAAAATTAGTTTGAAATTGCTTAATAAAGGGATATGGGGAAAAAGGAAGCTTTCTAAGCAGAATAACTGATTGAAGAAGCAGAATAGAACTCTGTGAGAGTGGATATAGGTATGTACTTCCTTCTCATCCTTTAATTAGGGGAAACTTGTTTATTGTGCCAGGATATGATGCTGAATATCCCAGGAGAAAGAAGATCAGCCAGGGATAGTTTCTTAAGTGTTGAATGTCTCCATGGTTAATACTCAAGACTGTTCCTATTCTCTGTCATGTGAGATCCATTTTGTGCTTAAAGATCAGCATGCTGGTACCCAGAAGTCTGTTGTGCCAGGGTGTTCACATATCTTGTTGAAAATTCCTGACATTTTACCAGCATAAGAGAGGTCGTTGAAAATCTGCTGGTTTGAGAAGAGGAACAGGAATAGAGAAGCATACTGCATGCAGAAGAATTCATTCCTTGTGCTTTGCATGACCACAAGAGCAGAAGATGCTCCTCGGAACTTCCCAGCAACAGAGATTGGTCCCATGGGGTTGTTAAGATTGTTTGGTTGTTTGGTTTTTTTTTTCCTTCCCTTTTTCCTTGTTTTATAAGGTGGAGCCCCCATTGAGGAATAGGGGTTTTTTAAGGTCAGGAATGAGATCCACACCCAGCTTGTAGTTGGTTTGGTGAATTTATAGGGTATATTAGTGTGGGACGTTTTAGGAATTCTCAGGAGAGTGTGTGCTTGGGGCTTGGCCTCTGTTCTTTGCCTCTTAAACTTGCATCTTGCTGCGCTGTCACAGGCTGTAACCAGTTCCATCGTCTCCATGTGCCTGTAAGCTAGAGTGGTTCTGCCTCGTCATGGGAGTAGAGACTCAGAAATGGGCCGGTGTCATAAAGCCCGGCTGCAGCAGAGATGGAAATGGCCCTGCAGTGTCCAGGCCCAGTCCTGGTGTGCTGACTGGGGTTGTCTGATGAGTTCCCTTATCCCTGCTGCACTCTCCTTTGTGCAGTCTGTATCCAGACCTGTATTTACTATGGGACAATGTGTGTACTGACTTGTACTTTATGACTCTTGCTATGGAGACTTAATGTCAGACTGCTTATACAAGGAGGAAGTTCTTGCAGCCAGTCCAGTGCTCTGTGTTCATGCATTTGCATCATAAAACTTCATTCTGGCCTTAAATCTTTGGGGGCCTCAGAAAGACAGAGCTGGAGGTATCTCTGCGTGGGGTTCAGAAGGGATCCTTACATCTTGATATAAGGGTTGAACTGCTCACACAGAGGGGTACTGTGAGAATTCCCTCCAAGATCAACATTTTCTCCCTCTGAAGGAGGCAGTTGGGATCTGCATCTTAAATGAACAGCTATGATCTGTTTTAGGATTACTGGATTGCAGTGTGTTTGCTGACCTCATTTTCTGTGCTGATAGCAGTCATCCAGAAAAACAGACCTTTATTTTTATCAATTTAGCAACCTAAATGTGTGCATCTCCACACTTTCTTCTCCCAAATGTGTTTTCTTAGGAGTGTGTTTCTGGAAGTTGATCCCAGACACCCAGATATGGTGGAGAACTGGCTTCAGGCACACCCCAACTTACTACTCGTCCTTCGTGCTGTTCACAAGGACTTCTGTGGCGTGTAAGTCTCTTACGGTCAGATTTTTGCTTCAGCTATAGGTCTGTGTCCTTTGTATGTTACATCCCTGCACCCTGATGTACCGAATAAACTCAGTCAGCGAAAGTCCCTGGCTGAAGCCAATCTTTAACAAAACAGGGGCTCCCTTCAGGTATCTCTATAAGGGCAGTTAATGACAGAACAAGGGGAAATGGGTTTAAGCTGAAAGAGGGGAGGTTTAGATTAGATATTAGGAAGAAGTTCTTCACTGTGAGGGTGGTCAGACACTGGAACAGGTTGCCCAAGGAAGTTGTGGATGCCCCCTCCCTGGAAGTGTTCAAGGCCAGGCTGGATGAGGCTTTGAGCAACCTGGTCTAGTGGAAGGTGTCCCTGCTGATGGCAGGGGGGTTGGAACTAGATGATCTTTAAGGTCCCTCCCAACCCAAACCATTCTATGATTCTATGATCTCAACCTTCACATATCCTGAGATAGCCCGGCAAGTGTTTCTGAGTCAGAAATTCTGACACAGGTAAGCATTGCTGATGGGGTGACCAGCTCTGGTGAGATTATCGCCATTGGAAAACTGCTGCTTTTGTATGATGGAGGTAGAGGCGTGTTCTTAAAGACTTAAAGCTTTGGTCATTGTTTTTCCCGCAGGCCTAGGTTTCTGCACATCCAAAAACAAAGCAGATGACAACTGTACCAGAAATAACTCTTCTTGCAGTTTGCTTCTTGCTGGTGAGCCCTGCTGATTTTTTTTCTGAACAGCTTGTTGAAAACTCTGCGTGGCAAAAGGAATCTCTACTACTTCATTCTCCCCAGTGCATTGAACCCTCTGTGCAGTGGCAGACCCCCTCCTTTCCTGATACAGACTTCACCCAGAGATGCAGAAGTTGAGCAGAGCTTGTAGAAGTGTTTCACCTTCCTCAGGGAACTGCATGCAACTTCTTAGTTTGCTGTGCTAAAGTGAGCAGGACCCAGTATTAATCTCGGAACCCAGTATGGAAGAGTTCACAGCTCCAGATACTTCATTAATAATACAACTTCTCAGCACCTCATTTTACCTAGAAATAATTTAACTTTTTTTTTGGCCTTGAGATAAATTTATATAGAATGCGACCACATTGGATGATAGGCCTAAAATCTGGCTTATATCAGCACATGGATTTGATGGTATAATGGGACATGACTAACCTGCACATTTCAAATTCAGTTCTGTTCCAGGATCCTGATGCTCTGGAATGGATTTCCAACAGCAAAGCACTCTTTGTTTCCCAGTCCTGCTGAGTGGCATGTTGTTGAAGGATCAGTGCACATGTTACACCATCTGAATCTACAGCACCTGACACTTAGTGGATGCTACCAGAAACAGTCAAAACCTTGTAATAAAGATAGTGTTTTAGATCAGTGTCCTTACCAGAACTGCTGTACAATTATGTTTTCAAACATGCTAGCAGACCTGAACAAACATCTGGCACCTGCACATTGCTTCCGGTAGTAGTAGAAATCCCCGACTTCCATGTAAGGTGTTTAAGTGCAAGACTTGACCAAGAAAGCCAGAATCACTACTCCAGTTTTGCAGATAGAGAGGCTGAAAAACGGGAGGTGAAATGACTTGTACAAAATGTGACAACAGGCTAAGTTTGGACTAGGACCCAGTCTCTTGACAGCTGTGGGAATAGCTGAGATCTGTTTCTCTGGGAAGTATGACTCAGAGTAGGGCTGCCTGAAACAGCACTGAGAGAAGTCCCTGAAATGGACAGTCAACATCATGACATTATAAATAATGGAAGGATTAAATTCAAGCTGCTTCTTGGTGTTGCTGTTATTTCCAGTGTTGCAAATTCCCTTCGTGACCATAGCTAGCCAAGGAAGGAAGGAAAGAAAGCAAACCAAAGGATCTGGTCTACCAGTCTAAATGGAAGCACTTGGCCAGTGGAGGTGAGCACTTAGTAGGGGTGGAAGTGTCCAGACCGTGACCTTTGCAGCCTGTCTGTACCAGGGAGGTGCTGTCAGGCTCTCTATCCAGGCTGAACTGGGAGTGCATAGCCAGAAACGTTAGGTAGGAGCTGCATCAGCAAACTCTGCATCTGTTTGGAAAACTGCAACAGATTCAGAGGGTTTTACATGAGCACGAACACACCTCGTTCATTTCCCCTCTACATCTCCCACACTCACACTCTCCACTCTTTCATTTGCCCTTTAACTCTTGAATGCTGGCCCTGCCTTTTGACAGAGACCTGAGCTCCTTCTGATGTACCAGCACTTGGGTCTCCAGTTGAGTCCTTTCCCCACCCTCTGGGCTTTTGCAGCTCTTCTCACAGTGCCTCTCACACTGCATTTATTCTCCCCACTGTTCACCACCCCAGGAGTTTGCAATGTCCTGCACACTCTTTACTGGAAGTTATGAACCTTTACTGGGCTGCAGTACCTGCCCTGGTTAAACTCAGCAGAGGAAATCTAGTGAAGGAGAGAACTAAAAAGGTTCATTTAAAGTGCTTTTGATCCTGGGTTTGAAAATAAAGTTCCAGTACAGCTGATTTCTGGTAGTTTTGCCTGCTAGAGCTGTGAGTACAGATTGTAGTCAAAGAGATGTTATGGTTTCTGGGGGGTTTATTGTTGTTTTTTAATTTGTTTGTTTGTGGTTTTGTTTTTTTTTTTTTTTTAAGGTCTGTTTTTAAGTTCCTTTAGTGAGACTTTAGTTCTTTAATTTTTAAACAGAGTTCACAGATTTCATCTGAGTGTTGCCAGCGTTTATGTATGGAACAGAGCAACAAGCACAGCTTAATTCTGCTGGATACTTTAAAAGGTGGATAGTTTACTGACTTATTGAGAGTGTTAAACAGCATCACATTGCATTCTTCAAGGGGCAGGCTGATTCCCTGCAGCAGGCTGGAGTTAGCTGTCCCTCCGAGAGCGGTGGTGGCTGGGCTGCAGACAGCAGCGTGCCTGTTCTCGGAAGCATCAGTCAATCACTTGTCAGAGCTCTGAGTAGGACACTTTCTCTGTGAGACGGACTCTTGGTCTAATGCAGTAGGACAAGTGTTAAATCCTATATTTATAGCTAAAGCAGTAATAAAAATGCTTGCATTTCTGTGGGTTTGTGCTGCGTAGTGGTTACGTGTCTTGGAAAATCACATGGTGCTGCTGACCTTCTCATAAAGACAAGAATGGAGAAAAATTGTTCTCCTTCCCAAGAGGCTGGGTTTATTTGTCAGACTCCCATCTGAGGGAACGTGCTGGTGTAGTACAATGTGTTCTTCAGTGCTTTACGCATATTGGCCCGGGCTCATTTTGCTGCAGAAGCACTGCAAGGCTTTTTGGAGATGGTTTTGAGGAACGACAGGCACTCCCAGCGCCCTTGCTACAGCCCTGGACAAGTTGTCTTTGTTGCCTGTGAACAGGAGGCTGAGGTGCCGCCAGCGATACGCTGTGCACGTGGGCTCTCTGCAGAGGCGTAGCTGCTCCCTGAAACCACAGGAGGCTGATGCTTCAGTCGGCGTTTTATGTAACCCAGTATCTGACATATATTTAATTTTCTTGGAACTTACTGGGGTTTTGTAACTGTATCAGAATGGGGATTTGTCATCTGAAGTGATGCTTTCAGAGGGGTTTTGTTTCCCTCCAGGACTCTGCAGAGTGTGTTTTTGTGTGCCCTGTTTGGGAGAGTGACCAGGTGTGAAGTTATCTCCTAGGATAACGCTGACCTTCCCCGAGGAGGAGCTGGTAGAAGCTTGGCCTTTGGCAGAGCCCTGCAGATGGTGCTGTGGTCCCAGCTCAGCTCTGCCTGTGCTGGAGAACAGCCCAGCCGCAAGCAGGGAGCATGGCAAGGTGCTGTCCCCACTCAGAGAATCCGGGTCAACAGAGGACTTCAGCCTAGGTGCAGCTGCAAAATGGGGCTTTAACCTGAATGCCTGTGCCAGTAACACAGAACTTCAGCACAGGGTTCACGTAGGGAAGTTGGAAAGGGACCTCACACCTGTGATACAGAGCTGGGCTTGTCCCTCAAGCTCTTAATGGGAGACCTGAAGCCACCCTAGGGCTGCATTAATCCATGGGTTTGGACAATCTCTAGTATGCTGGAGGATAAAGACCGAGTACCATTCTTGTCCTGCTGTAATTTCCATGTAAGCACGCTGAAGTGCAAGTACCACCTGTGTTTTCAGTCTGCCACCCAGGATGTGGGGTGAAAGGGGCTTTCCCAGGGACCTTAGAGCATGTAAGAAACGTGTTTATCCTCACAGTGTTCTCAGCCAAACCTGTGGTCTTGTAGGGATGAGACTCCTTTCCAGGTGAGGAACTGACAGACATAGAGTGACTCCACTAGAGTGACACAGGAGATATCTGGGGACCCAGGTGACAGAATGTGTGTGGATTACTGGCCAGCACTCAGTTCCTTGATGCAAGGCCATAGACCAAAATGGGTTGGAAGGGAGCTTGGCAGTCACCTAGCCCAATTTTCCTGTCCAAGTAAGAATCAACTTGGCTTCCATCATTCCTGACAAATGTTTGCCCAACCTGATCTGAAAGGTCTCCAGTGTTGATAACTCTTGCACGCAATCTGTTCTGGTGCTTTGTTGTTCTTTCTGCTAGAAAGTTATCCTTTGTACCTCGTCTTCCTTGCTGCCAGTAAAGCTGAGTACTGCTTCTCCTCACCTGAGGTGGAGAACAGCTGACTCTCTCCTTAGAGCAGATAACCATGTGGCAGTCTGCTCCTGTGTTTCCTCACAGTCTTCATTTATGAGGGAAAGAAAACCATTGCATTGTTTCTGTAGGCTGCTTGCACAATCCTTCCCTCCCTGCTTGTGTAAAGGGGGACCAGGAGCGCTGAAGGGCAGCGTGCTTCAGACATGTTGCAGGTGATATTTGTGCCTGTGGTGATTGGAATAACAGAGCTGTTACAGCTCATCTCATTACAGGGGAGGAGTCCTTTCCCAAGCAGTGAAGACCAAGCCAAAACTTGCATTAACATTTTGTTTGTCTGGGCAAGTTTTCAAAAGCTCGATTTAAGTTTTAATAAACTACTATTTCTACTCCAGGTTGCATCCAGAGGGACAAATACCCAGTGATAGAAGGCTTCTCTCCCACAGTCAAGATGATGATGAGATACTGAGAGACTTTATCCAGTTTCCATCCTATTTCCTCTTCCATAGATGTTTTTGTATGCTTTAAGTGTCAGAAGTTTCAGATGTTCCTCCCTATGGAGGGTCATGTCACAGTCCTCCTCTGTTTCTTTTGCCTGCAGGCAAAGCTCAGCATGGTCCATCCAGTCCTTGGTGAATGCAGGAGGCTGTTCACATGCTACCATCCTGCAGCCCTGGGATCACGGCCAAAGCATGTTCTGCATTCAGCTGTTGCACCTGGGACAGTAGCAGAAGTTACTGCAGTCTCAAGGATGTGCCCTAGCTGCAGAATCAGACCTGTACCCAGCTTTCTCCTGCCTTGCAGTCACCTCTTTGGTTGTACCAGGTGGGCTCAGGCTGATGTGCCTGGGGTTCAGAGTCAGCATCTGAACTGTTTGCTCTCTGGCCCGGGGTAGCCTTTTGTAAGTGTACCTGCAACCAGGAGGTGGTGTCTTGGGGGATCCTGACCTGTGTGATCTCTCTGCCCCTGGACTCTTTGGTCTTGCCTGTCACTGCCACAGTGGGTCTGGCAGAACAGCCTCTGAGGTTTGCTAAATTGCCTGCTCGTGTT